TGCGTGATGGAGGCCCTCCACCCCCGTAGAGTCTCAGCAAAACGGACCAAAGTGGCGAGCCTGCCCGTGAACGGCAGAGTCGTTGTGTTTCCGATTAAAAACATTGTTTTGTTGTTCTGGGAAACCCAGAACTCCACGGGCGGAGTTGGTGGGCTTTTTCTTTTTCTTTTCTTGTTCCTGTGTTCTTGTGTTCTTGTGTTCTTGTGTTCTTGTGTTCTTGTTTTCTTGGTCTCTTGTTCTCTTGTTCTCTTGTTCTCTTGTTCTCTTGTTCTCTTGTCTCTTGTTCTCTTGTTCTCTTGCTCTCTTGCTCTCTTGTTCTCTTGTTCTCTTGTTCTCTTGTTCTCTTGTTCTCTTGTTCTCTTGTTCTCTTTTTCTTGTTCTTGTTCTTGTTCTTGTTCTTGTTCTTTTTCTTGTTCTTTTTCTTTTTTTCTTTCCTTTTCTTTTTCTATTTCTTTTTCTTTATCTTTTTCTTTTTTTTTCTTTATTTTTCTCGTTCTTTTTCTTGTTCTTTTTCTTTTTCTTTTGCTTTCTCTTTTTCTTTTTCTTTTTTCCCCAAACAGTGCTTGCGCAATGGGGTTCTTACGTTCAGAGTAAAGAAATTGGTTGCTGACCGCAACGGCGCGCGCGGCGGTGGGACGGGGCCTTGGTTTCGACGCTCCCGCTGTGGTTTCGCGCGAATTCCGTTGCGTTTCGATGCTCCCGCTGTGGTTTCGCGCGAATTCCGTTGCATTTCGATGCTCCCCCTGTGGTTTCGCGCGAATTCCGGCCTCTCGTGGCCTCTTCAGGCCTCTTCTGGGGGGGCCACTTAGGTTGCCGACCGCAACGGCGTGCGCGGTGAGACGGGGCCTTGGTTTCGACGCTCCCGCTGTGGTTTCGCGCGAATTCCGTTGCGTTTCGATGCTGCCGCTGTGGTCTCCAGCGAATTCCGTTGCATTTCGATGCTCCCGCTGTGGTTTTGCGCAAATTCCAGCCTCTCGCGGCCGCTTCAGGCGTCTTCTGGGGGGTCTACTTAGGTTGCCGACCGCAACGGTGCGCGCGGTGCAACGGGTCCTTGGTTTCGACGCTCTGGCTGTGGTTTCGCGCGAATTCCGTTGCGTTTCGATGCTCCCGCTGTGGTTTCGCGCGAATTCCGTTGCATTTCGATGCTCCCGCTGTGGTTTCGTGCGAATTCCGGCCTCTCGTGGCCTCTTCAGGCCTCTTCTGGGGGGGCCACTTAGGTTGCTCTTCTGGGAAGGCCACTTAGGTTGCCAACCGCAACGGCGCGCGCGGTGGGACGGGTCCTTGGTTTCGACGCTCCCGCTGTGGTTTCGCGTGAATTGCATTGCGTTTCGATGCTGGCGCTGTGGTTTCGTGCGAATTCCATTGCATTTCGATGCTCCCCCTGTGGTTTGGCGCGAAGTCCGGCCTCTCGTGGCCTCTTCAGGCCTCTCCTGTGGGGGCCACTTAGGTTGCCGACCGCAACGGCGCGCGGTGTGAGACGGGGCCTTGGTTTCGACGCTCCCGCTGTGGTTTCGCGCGAACTCCGTTGCGTTTCGATGCTCCCGCTGTGTTTTCGCGCGAATTCCGTTGCATTTCGATGCTCCCGCTGTGGTTTTGCGCAAATTCCGGCCTCTCGTGGCCTCTTCAGGCATCTTCTGGGGGGGGCTACTCAGGTTGCCGAACGCAACGGCGCGCGTGGTGGGACGCGGCCTTGGTGTCGACGCTTCCGCTGTGGTTTCGCGCGAATTCCGTTGCGTTTCGATGCTCCCCGCTGTGGTTTCGCGCGAATTCCGTTGCATTTCGATGCTCCCGCTGTGGTTTCGCGCGAATTCGCCTCTTCAGGCCTCTTCTGGGGGGGCCACTTAGGTTGCCGACCGCAACGGTGCACGCAGTGAGACCACCTGGGGGCAGGATCAATAAAAACACAGGGTTTAGGGGGGGTTTAGGGCCTTAGGGTTTTAGGGTCAACCCTGCGGCTGGGTGCCGGGGGTTAGTATTATGGGGTAGCGATTTTGGGGTTGAGCATCATGAGCATCAGCTCGCGTGCAAAGCGGACTCCCCCAGTGGTTGGCGTCCTTTTGACCCCCAAGCGAGTTCGGCCCCCCACGAACTTTTGTACTTTTTGTTCCTTTTCTGGCCCTCCTCACTGTTTGGGGTCTACGCCGGCACAATCTTTTTCTTGTTCTTTTTCTTGTTCTTGTTCTTTTTCTTGTTCTTGTTCTTTTTCTTTTTCTTTTTCTTCCTCATGTTCTTGAGCACCTGGTGGCAGGTCTTCGGCCCCAAGTTGTACAAGGACACTGGAAAGCTAGTGACTCTAGCTTCACAGGGGAGCACGAAGTCTATCAAAGAAACCGCGAAGTGCATTCAACCTTGACCGAGTGCAGAAGCCTGAGGTGACTGACTTGCAGAGTCTCATAGGCCACTGGCGTATGCGCCAACACGCCATCTATGCCCTTCAGCAGCCACCGCAACTTCTTATATTGAGTTCAGTCAACATACTCATGCATCGATCCAACACAAACAGAAGGTCCACAACCATTATCCCGATTCTCCTTCCAGTCGTTCATGCACATCACCTGCGATAATGTTATTTACTGCACGTGTGCTCTCCTCTTGCGTTGTGGTGATACTCCACATTCAGGGTCGACTGATCAGCAGACGATCAGAGGCACAGGGAGGTCATGTCAAGCAATGGGCCACTGATGATTCCAAGCTAGCCAAGAGCGTCAGTGCACATATCAGCCTGGATACTGCACTGTCGCAACAATGCTATGCTGTCCTTCTGTGCAGGGAAGATGTCATCAAAAACACCTGATGCATTCGATGTGGGGACTACATCTCGGTCTCACGATGGGGTAGTGAGCTTACTGCACTCTCGTGCATAAAGCCGTGCGTTGCACTGCAATGCTTGAGTGTGCTTCTCTCTGCACTGCGCTGACTGCAGGACACTTGTCCTTTGCCATGAGTGAATTGTACAGAAACGGAGTCTTCCATTGTACATACGTGGTGCGCCGATCTTCGGCCACCTAACTGCCTCATATTTTGTTGTTTGGTACACATGAAGAGCTGACTCGAGTTCGCTCGGCTATTCGTGGCGGAACTCGTCTCTTGTGGAACCTGTTCTCAAGGAAGCGCCAACGCACAAGCATTGCCACTGGGCTGTGTACTCAGCTGTGGACTTGGACTGCGGCTGCGATTGGAATGGCATTGCTTACATTGTTGAAATTTTTTTGAGCACAAAAAACTGTTTTTGATTTGGTTTGCGGAGTTTTTGTATTTTTTCTGACCTTTTTTCTGGCTCTTTGTTTGTCTCGGAGTTTGCTTTTGTATGTTTTCTGAATATTTGTTGTTCTATAGTGTTGTGAATCGTTTGAATCGTTTGACTCTTGCGGCTTCTATACATTTGCAAATCGTTTGACGCTTGACGCTGGCGGCTTCAGAGACAAGAGGTTTTGGTTTAGCTTGTTTTACTGCAGCTGAGACGTCGAGTTTCATGGATTTTGCAACTGATGGATTCTGCACTGTAAGGTCCCGTTCTGCTTCTTGCACAAATTTTTTCTTGGAGGCTACGGGAGAGTGCTTCGCACCCCCATTTTGCCATCAGGCAACAAATCCAAGTTATGTTTTTTGCCGAAGTGGTGTTGAGACCATTTTTGGATCGATCTGGAAAGACACTCTTTTGGTGGGACACTGTGTTTTGGGTTTGTGCTGGAGACACCTTTTAGTCAGTGTTAAGACACCCTTTCAAATTTCTTGTTTTCTGCCAAGTGGTGTTGAGACTCGGTTTTCCCGCTGCCTGGATGCCCCGTGACCATAAGTAGTGATCGGCGGATGAAGCCGGACGCTACTTAAGATTTGTTTGAGGAATTTGCAAGGCTAAACGCCACCACTCCTGCACCGTTCCTTGTCGTCCCAATCCACCATGGTGGGAGCTTTCAATGGTTGGATGCAAGGAATTGAAAGATGCTATTGATGCGTGTGAGATGGGCGATACGAGCAATTTTGGTTGGCCTGCCTGCGACTCTCCATTGAGTGCTTTCTGTGCCTTTAGGCATTTGGGGTACTTGTCACGACCGGCGAGTTTGCATCACTTTGTTTCGTTCGCTTTTCCCCTTTTCTCTTTGGCCACTGCTTCGCAGCAATGGGGCTATGTGCCATGCGCTCATTGGGAAAAACTGGGTGACCTTGTCAATGCCAACCCTGGCATGAGTTTATCAAGTGCGATCGGCCTTGGTGGTGCCTTGGTGACTGACGTTGGAAAGCTGTGCAGTGATATCATCATCGTCGTGTTCTGAGTCCCTCTTTATAAATGTCGTGCTCTCTTTGCAGGGCAGAGCCCACAAGGGGTAGCTCAACAAAGAATGAAAACTTCTCTCCTCGAGTAAGGCATCACATAGGAAATCCTAGCTTTCTGAAGGGCCTCAGCAGCTGGGAAGTGCAGCAGGGGCATAGGACCTCAATCCTGGCATCGAGGAAAACGTAGTAAATGCCACAAAACCTTATTTCTGGATTGTTTGTGTTGAAAAAAATGTGCCGGGGCAGTATGCAGCTGGTCTTTGTATTGCGTGTACGTGCTTCTCCCGGGCCTCTGTCGCAAAACAGGTACTGTAAGGCATTGGAAGGGCATTCAGAATTAGAGTAGAGTTTTGGACGTATGTATATTGTTATAGTAAAAATGAGGGACCTTATTCTAATTATTGAGGCCCTGCCGTACCCCACCTGGGTGCAAGTCTTGCGTTCGGTCTCAAAAGGCCTTCGTCCTCGTAGGGACTGTGAACGCATTCCAGAGGCCAAGGAAGGCTCCCATTGCAGCGGTAAGGGAATAAGCCTTTTGTTCATCATTCCCCGTAGAAGTGTGTCATAGCATAGTGTAGCATCGAAACGATAAAGTATGGGCAAGCTGCGATCGTTCCAAAAGTCGAGACCCGAAATGGCTACGAATGTGGCTCAGATTGCACAAAGGTTTATGATTCGAAGGCCTCGCGCTACCGTTGTCTTTCCAACACATCTGAGCTACATCCATGATTCTGGCCATCGCCTTGCTGGCAGTCGCCCAGGGTGTCCGCATGCTGGATGATGCTACTTTAAGCGACATGTTCGTCGATACATGCCAGGATGCAAGATGCGTTTATTGGGATGACCCTGCGCGGGGATACCGCCAGTTGAAAACCGGCGACTTGGTCTTCCTCTTCTCCACCGACATGGTTTCCCAGATCCAGATGTCCTTTACGCGAGCCGATGTGATGCACGTCGGGATGGCAGTTTGGTCCAAACCCGGTAGAGACGGTTCGCTGCATTACATCCCGGAGTTTGACGGTGCGAATTCTGTCCTTGGGATGCTGGAGGTGAGCAACCACGTCATGGAGGATATGGAGACAACCGAGTGGAAGAAGGGCTTTCACTACGTCGACATGTACCACAAGTTGACTCATGGTTGGCCGGCAGGCCTCCGCGTCTATATCAAACCGAGGAAGCAGAAGTTGGACGATGCTGAAATGGATCAGCTTCTTACGATGTCCTCCTGCTTTCATTCTCGAAGAGTAGCCTACCTGAAGATGTTCACCACGAGTGAATCGTTGCTGGGAAAGTTCTACCGCACCTGGACAAAGTCTACTCGCGAGGTGACAGAAAAGTTCAAGAACATGTTTTGTTCACAGTTTGCTGCCCTCATGGTGATGGTTTGGGATGGCCAGCTGCAGATGAACCGGGACGGCAGCGTCACGAGCCAGGACGTAGCAGGTGTGCGACAGCTTCTTCCCGGTGACTTCCACCCCGGCGATGTCTTCAAGATTGAGAACGGCAAGTTCAACGAGCCGTACCAACTCCAGATTCCCTACCCCGAGTACCCGAAGTACCAGCAGATGGCTTTGCAACAGAAAGCTCTGATCCAACACCCGAATGGAAGGGGCAAAGATGATTTGCAGCGGCAGTGCGCAAAGCTTCCCTCGATTGAGTACGTCAAGGAACACCTTCCGACTTTCATGGCCAAGATGGAGAAGTGGCAGCGCGAGAACACCTGCGACACTGTCTGTGGGGAGCCAACCATGGAGATGCCCGTGCACCCAGGGGGCAGGAACGTGACTTGGAAGATCTTTTCAGGCTCCTGGAACGAGAAGGAGAGGCGATATGAGCCCGACTTCGGCCATCATTGCATGTCGAGCTGCATGGTCCTCGGCGCAAGATCTGCGCCATGTTCCCGTGGCAGGCCAAACTACCAGAAGGTCGCCAAGATCCAAGAGGGTGGCACCACGTACAAAGCCTGCTGCCGGACGATTCCCTGCGCCAGGGACAGAGTCGTCGACGCCCGCGACCAACAGGACGATGAGGATGATGAGGATGGAATGCGTGCGTGGTTGCTGAGTGCAGAAGATGAGGACGCCACCTGACTGCCTTCGCAAACATGGCCTGCGCCTTTTTCTTGGGCACGCACGAAGCCCGCCGGCAGGCAACAACAAACAGTGTCATTTGCAGCGACTCCGGAAGCTACGAGTTAAGCTGTGAGTCCTGGCTCGGGTACTGATTATAACCCCAATTCTATGCCTACTTAAAACCTACTTGCAGGGCTTTGGGGGCTTATGAGTACAGTGATAATTCGGGATTGTAAGAGCCCTGAACGTGCTGGTAATTGCAGTCGTAATGATATCTTATCAATCTTTGGTGAATGATGATATGTATAGTCTTGACCATCCACCGCGCAACAGTCTTAATCAATAGAATTCATTTCTATTCATACGAAAGATGATATCCTTGCCGGCATTTTTTCATGTATGATTTAGTATCACGTGGCCCACAACGATCATGCGCGTTGCAACAAAAATGGAGGAGGTTATTGGAGGTCATCAGTTGCTTGTTCTCGGATCTGGACGTCGAGAAGATCGTGAAACACGGTGCAACCAGCTCTATTTGATGCGTGGATGAGATCGTCACAGCAAAGGACAGTCGATCTTTTGGTCATGCTTTGACTATCAAGTCTCACTTCATATAGCTTACCCGCCAGCTTCATGAACATCACCACTACTGCTGCTGCTACTACGACTACTACTACTACTACTACTACTACTACTACTACTACTACTACTACTACTGCTACTCGTGATGTCACTGTCAATTACCGAAGATCATATGATTGGTCATGACCATTCCATAATTTTGACCGAAGGCCTAGATGAGGAGCTGCTCCTTCTTGCGTTGCTCAGCCGCGAGTCAGCTGGGGTTTCTGTCGCTTTCAGTCTCAAGTGCTTGTCAAGCACAGTCGCTTGTGGTTTGTAAACATCAGCTTGCCATTGTGCAAACTCACCATCCGTCTTCCAGAGCCATGGCTCTCGCCCTGCTCCTAGCGCTTGCGTCCCTGGTGCAGTTTGCCGCAACTCGGCGCATGCAACGCGAGGAGGAAGTGGACTGTTCCCAAAAGCTGCCGGCGCCAGAGAATTTCCAGCTGACACCATCAAGCTATGATGGACTCGATGGTGTTGGCGTTTACTGGCAGACCGCTGTGCCACTGCAGGACTGTGAGAAGTACTTCATGTACTTCAAGAAGTATGATCGGTTTGTGGCTCTCCAACGGATGCAGGCCTTGAATAGGGTTCAGGTCTACAATATATGTGCTGCGGAGGCTACTCAGTATGGTGATGTGGCCTTCTGCCAAGCAGAGAAAGAAGGACCGGTGTGGGACTCGATGCAAAAGTTTGTGAGTACAAAGGTTGAGGAATGTAAGTCAACGCTGTGCAGTTTGGCAAGGACGGGGGAGTGGAAGGCTGGAATGTTCAAGTACAAGCAGGACCGAGCCAAAAAAACGCCTTGGCGTCGTGAACTGCCAGGCCATGAGAGCTTGGGCTTTGAGGAGGCCTTCAATGTGAAATGCGGATTGTATAGAGTCCAAGTTCCCAAGTCTTTTGCCGAGGTGGTTCCCACGTTTCAGGACTTTGCTGATAAGTATGGTTTCATTTCGCCCAAAGGCACCTTCAACAAGACGGCCTGCGGATGTCCTTCAGAGGATGAGTGTGACTGATGCGACCCCTGGTGACCAGCAAAAAGATGCGCATCGGCCAGTGCGGCCAGTGCATCGCTTCAGGTGAGCTGCAGTACACACATGGCCGTGGGTCAAGATTATTTCCCTCAACATGGTCATGACAGGAATCGAAATCCATCAGAAGCCACAGGCCATTGGGGTAGCCATTGGCTTGACCTACAAACGCAACTCCGTCATATGTTCGTTCATAATGATAGATCGTGATAGATCAGATCAATGTTTTTTGAAAGCCCAGTATTTTTCCAACATGGATAGTTCGGCAGGCAAAACCTATGTTTCACGAGTTGCATGATCACAACTGGGTACCTAAGTTTGAATGATGGCCATGTGAAGCATGCATTGCTGGATACTCCATGATATCCCATGACGACCCCCACCTAGTGTAGATCAAGATGCCGCCTAGTCAGACATCATGATAAGGCCGCGTCCCGGCATGGCTGTCCCCAGTCTCATGGCACCCTTGTCTCCTTTTTTGAGTCATTCAATCGATTGCAAGCGGAGTGCCCATATGTAGAGAAATACCCATGTTGTTTGCTGACCCCATCATGTCGATATTCCACCAGTACTGTTCCAATCACGGGCGTTCTTGGCGCAACCGTGACATTGATGATATGGCCATTGATTGGGACAATTGGCCAAATTATCGTATTCAGTTTTATTGTGCTTCGGCTCACCCTCACCACCACCGACCACGCGACGCCAGGTTGTGATCTTCGCCGATGATTTTTTGCAACGTCCGATGGATGGATGAGGAGGATTTGGTCATATGCTACAGTATAGCCAACAAGAGCCGATGTTGCTGCTCTTGTAGCAGCTGTTGTTCGTTGTGGTAGTGGTGGTTGTGTTGCCGCAGAGCGATGGTCCCACGATTATCCAAATTGGCCTTAAGGCCAAAGGATATATACATACTTGTACATCGAATGGCCGAGATACTCATGACTACCCGGCGGCTCCGCCATCAGTACAGCGTTTCTTGCAACCCATCAATCGCAGAGCCAGACATAAGTTGTCAAACATGCCGAACTGTTTCACCAATCATACAACCATTCAGGAATCGAGAAAGCCAGTGCCAAAGCCACGAATCAAATTCCCAACAAACCAATCAAAACCATTCATGACACTCCACCATTTCTACCCATTTTATTGTTGCCAATCCATCGTTGCTGGTCATCAAACCTTATTTTTGCCCATCATGAGAGCCGGTTGTCCATCCAGCCCAACATGGTCTTAGGGTTTTTGGGGCTTTAGGGTTTAGGGTTTAGGGTTAATGGGTCCACGGGGCAAGAACCACCAGCAATCATACCCTCCTACAAATTTGCATGGTGGCCATAAACCGTGGTAGTATTGGATTCCAAGCCCGTTTTTTGAGTGGTAAGGGGGTCTTCGGGAGTGTAGATTCAGATGCATGAAGCACACAACAGATACCAGCGGTGGCAGAACCAACAGATATGATGGAACCAACGGTAATGGTTTTCACCAACAGTAATTAGATATAGTCAACAGTATTTGGTAGAACCAACAATGAGAAAATATTTTATGGTCGTGGTAAGAGGATACGGGCTGAGTTGAACTGTCAAATGGGGACTTTGCTGTGAAGGTTCTCGGCTCGAGTTGTTACCTGTGCTTTCCTCCGAGAACTGGGTCTCTTGCATATTCACTTTGTACCTCCAGTGTCCGGTACTCTATTTCGATAAGCAGTCTTTGGGTTTTTCCAGTATGCGACTTTCTTGTGTCTCACTGAGAAGTAGTCACAGTCTTACTGCATTGTTGCCATAGAAGGCGCGCTGTTTAAGTCCTTCTTTTTCACACACTGCTGCTGTATTTTTATTTCATGGATGGCGAGCATGCTTCTGGTATACATGATGCTGGCTCTATGGGCTGGTATTATGATCCTGCCACTGCAATGGCAAACAGGTCGGCAGCTCAAATGTCTGGTGGTGATGCATTTGTTGCAGCAAGCAAGCAATGGCAGTACAGGGCATGTCTCTTGGAGATTATTGCAGACGCGTATGTTGGCACCAGCCAGTCCTGTCAGCATTATGCACAAGCCCTGGCCTCAGCTCTTACGAACAGCGAGAACGTCAGCGGATTGCTTCACTTTGCAAATCAAGTGCTGGACAGAGACTTATACATGCGATATCTGGCAACCATGTATAGGCACCACCCCGATGATGTCGCGAGCTTTTGCACTACATGCCACGAGCTTTGAGAGGGCAACGACTAAACACAGCGATGGTATAGGTAGTAAGGACACTTCCTGTTGTCTCAGGCATCTTGCTGGTATAATGGGGCACATCGATGGATGTACATGGTGGACAACTATCGAGCAGCGGCAGGACCTGTGCAATTCGAGTGCTTCACTGCTCTTTTGCACGATGCAACTCTCGTTCTCTGCCACCGACTGTACACAGCAAGCATATTGTTTCAGTTGCTCAAAGCAAACCAGAGGTTGCTACAGCGATGCCCTTCATATAAGAAAAGCAACTGGCATATGGTGGAACCTACAGTTCTGGTATGCACTACATCCCATTTCCCAGTCCCCATATACCTCAGAGTGTTATACCATGGCGAACCGCGGTCGCAGTCCACTACCTCGCCATGGGTATCGTTCTACACGTACGGATGCCTCCAGAAGCCGAACCAGAAGCAGAGTTCCTCTGAGGCGACGAGATCCTCAACCGGTGCGATCCCCGTTACCAAGGTTATGTGGAGAACCTGGGCGACGCCCATTGCCCCGCCATCGACCACAGCGGGCAGCCCGACAACGAACACCCTCACAGTCACCGACACCGGACCATGCTAGAGAGCTGCACACAGGCGAGGCTGGTGGTTTCTTTCGCTGGCCTCGTAACATACAGCCAGATGACGACCTCAGCGAGGCCTCGGTCGATGCAGGTATGATATCACCATCACAGTCACCATCACCGAGACATACATGTCCAGCAAAGCTTACTTCACCTTCTCCACGGCATCGACCTTGTGCTCATAACAATATTCGCTCACCGGCGACTTCATCCTCCAGCAACAGCTCCTCGACCACTATTATTAGGGTGGTCGGAGCAATGCCACGAGACCGCTCCCTGGAGCCGGCAGCTCCAGTGATTCTTCGCGAAGCGCGACAGCCCTCGCGTGAGCGCGAGCCAGTAGCGCTTGAGCCGGCAACGAGGTCACCAGGCGGGATACGACCTCATCGCATTCATCGTGTACGACCTCTGGAGCGAACGGGGCAGCGGAAGCCTGTTGGTTCTGCTGGAGAGGTCTCCAGCCGCCAGAGCAACACCTTAGTCGAAAAGGAGGCAGAGGAGAGACGCCTGGCCAGTATTTCTACGATGCTTACACACAGGAAGAAACAGAAGGACGAGAAGAAGACAAACCCAGCATCGGAGTCAGATGCACAGCCTATTCCGAAGAAGACGGTGAAGAAGACCAGAGTGAAATCGAAAGCCAAGGCAAAGGAGCGCACTCGAGTGAAGGAATTTCCCACGGGCACCATGCTGATCACCTCGAAGAAGCCGAAGAGCTACAAAGAGTGTCGGGTCGTATCTTCGACTGAGGCCTACGCTATGTCCCTGCAGGAATTACAGCAACAGGCCAAAGATCGACGACTCCGGCAGCTACAACGTCTTCAAGCCACCGCGGCGACAGTGGCCGAAACGTCTCTCGATGAGCGGCCATCCCAACCTGGTGATACGGAGGAGGTCATCCAGCAGGGCGCGAACTTGGGGAATGGCGAGGCACCGAATGTGGCGACTGTCTCTGTGGAACTGGCAGCTACCCTCCCGGATGCAGGTCCAGAGGACAAGGTGGACGACGCTACAGCCATCGATCAACGAACTTCGATAGAAGGGGAGGTCGCAACCGACGTCAACACCGCTGCCCTAGATCAATCCACATCTCCGGACAACCAGCCCGTGGCCGATACCAATGCAGTATCGGATGTAGCTGGTGAATCTGTACAAATGGATCTCTCTGCACAGCTGGAAAAGTATACCGTACCCATGGTGCACCATGCATTGGTTGCAATACATGTATGGGTATTCGACGTGGATTGCGTAACTCGATGCCACTGCAGGACAGTCGTCCTTTTCGTGAAGAGATCCATGGATAACGTCTGCAGACGGAATCAGTACCACTGCCACAGGTCCCTTGTGACTCCGGCTTGCGAGCATCTGCAATATCACTATGTATTGCAACAGGTGACGCCTCCGACACTATCAGACCCATCCCGATACACAACGAGTTTGCATTATGGTCTGGACCCAAGTTCTTGCAACATCGACCATGAGCAGCTACAGCTTATATGCCGGATGATCACCGTTGCTGACTCATATTATTTTCATACCATGTATGGGCATGCTGATACTGATTTTCACCTTGGGATATATCAGGCTCAGAATCCTTATATCGACTGCTCGGTAGCCGGGACTACTGCTTGTATTGCTACCGCCTGCCCTGTGCAATGCCTCCCAAAAGAAGGGCAAACCACCAGGCGACTCCGCCATCGAAGCGAAGGAGGTCACGACTCACCGACGACGACATCTCGGATGACTCCTATGCCAGGATGGAAAGCGAAATCTTCGACAGCCCTTCGGAGACACCTGCAGAAGAAGGAGACGCCACCTCCAGACCCAGTGTCACAGGACGAGGGACCGGCACCTCCACGGGAAGTAGAGCCTCAGCCGATACTCCCAAGCCTTCAATGCCGACTCCCAGGCCTGCGACCGCCAGCATGGACACGGGCATCCTCACGAGACGCGGAGCCTCGGCCGATGCTCCCAAAGCCTCGACTCCGTCACCAGGGCATCCTCGCCCAGCTACCTCGACCACTACTCCACGACCCTTCCTCTCACGCGGGGGGCCACCCCCCCCAACAGGGGCGCCACCACTATCGGTTCCTGGTACAGTGGGCTTCGGAGTGGGCCACCCGCCCATTGCTGATGTGGGGCAACGGCTGCAAACCTGGCACTTGGAGTTCAACGAGGGACCGACAATATCAGTCGCCGGGCAACCAACACGCAGTTGGTTCTTCCATCTCCGGCAAGGGTTTGTACACAATGTGGACGGAGCTCTCACAGCACATCACGATGTGGTCTTGGAGCCGGTCAGAGTGGTTCGGGGAACATCACTACCAATGTCGACGACCTCAATGCCAACGCAGATCACGTCGGAGAGGACCCCACCTCGTGCTGAGGACTAACAGAGCCAAGATATGGCAGATGGCAACTTTCAGAGCACTCGATCGGATATGGGGAATAAAAAGCAGATCGCATCCATGGGCCCGCTTTCGCTATAAAGCATGTACGAAGCGTATGAAACGTGGGATCACTCAGAGTCAATATTGTACCTCGACTCTCGCAGCTGGGGCGTATAAGGTCTGGTACTTTCTCGCGTACTACATGATGGCAGCATGCGGCCAGCTCGGTGGGTGCATTCTCTTTATCTCAGCTCTATGTTCCAAGTATGATGACAGACAGACTACAAATTTTTCTCAATGGTTTATCTCAGGAGGATTCCAGATTAAGAGCCGCTCGGGTCCCAAGTCCCGAGGCGACAGCTTCCAAGGTACACCCACTTATGGTGCATGGTTGCGGCTACTCGTGCTTTCTTCTTGTATATATGCTGCAACAGCTGTCGTAGAACCGAGGGTGGCCTCCTCCGTCCAGGAGGCTGAACCGGGTACTCGTCTTTCGGGACCCGGGAATGTGCACGATCTCGGTTATGATCGGCCTGTCAGCTTCACAAACACGCAGGCCTGCAAACGATCTTTCCGAAGAGCGAGGATGAGAGTGCAGAAACGCATTTCCGAGGGAAAGGCTGGCGAAACCATGTACAGGGGTAGATTGCACACGGCACAGAGTCTCGGTATGCGCAATACTTGTTTTCGTAGTTTCACTGAAGGCAGACGACCGCTACACACCTGGAGCCGTCGGCCCGGCCACATGACGCTGAGATACATGACATGGAACTGCAGTGGCCTAGGCAATATGCTGCTACCAGAATTAATTCAATGGCTGGACGAGCTACCTTCGCAGCAAAGACCTCACGTTGTATTTCTGCAGGAGTCCCATTGGAGTATTACGAGCGAATGGGAATCCAAAGGATGGATGCATATCTCCTCGGGCCATGCAGAAAAAGACAAATCGGCAGGACTGTTGACCCTGATCAACATACCGCATGTGACCACCAAGGAGGTTCGTGTACGTCGCGTACTACAAGGTCGCTTGGATCACATCCGTATCACGCACAGCAAGGGTGTATTGGACATTCTGAACTGCTACAATCAAGCGGTATCTTTTCAACAACCGGAGTCCCATTATCTCAAGCGATCCCAACTGTATCGCAACCTGGATAAGATCTTATGTTCCTTGGCGGTTGAGCATCAAGTTTTGGTGGCTGGTGACTTTAATTTACAACTTCGCAGAGAAGAACCATATGTCGGCTCGGCCACATGCTTGCGAGCACCCTTGGACGCCCAAATTGCCAAAGATGTCGAACAATTCTTGGAGGTGGTTCGCAAACATGCACTATGTGCACTCAATACATGGCGAGGACGACGACCACATACCTTTACTCATCTGAAGTACAAAACTCAGATTGACTATGTATTTACCAGGCAATCCCAAGCTACAGGGCTGGCCAAGCAAGCAATGCCTCAACATGATTTCATTGTCGGAGCTTGGAGGGACACGAAGCACTACCCGGTTATGGGCACAGTTCATGTACCCAAACCTACATGGCAACAACGACAATGTCCCAAATACGATATTACAGCCATCCTGCAGGAGGTACAGAACCCTGGTACGATCTCTCAGACCATCCATGCCCAAATGATGGAGTCACTAAGTACTTTGCCCCTCGATCGGTATGACGACATCCCGATACTGCTACATGATCTTTGCAGCCGCTATTTTCTGAGGGTCCCAGAGCAGCACTCACCCACACCACAGCAAGTGGAGCTGAAGCAATACATCAAAACAATGTGGGGACACTACAAGGCAGCCAAAACAGGGTCTATGATGGGTTCACCGCTCCGTGGACTACTACGTCGCTGGAGGCACCTTGTGCAATACCACAAAATGCGAAAGGAGTCCCAAAAAGTTGGTCGAAGATTGAAGCGAGAGCGATTCCAAACCTATCTGGAAATGGCAGAGGAGGCGGCCAATACATCCAACACAGTGGCCCTTTACAAACTTGTTCGCAAGCTGGCTCCCAAGTCCCGACGTCAACAGGTACAAATACGGGATGCCGAAGGAATGATTATTTCCGAACTCGACGAAGAAGAACATCTTCGAAAACACTTCGAGGGAGTATGGCATCTTCCCATGCAGTGGGAATCGCCCTCACTGTGCACCGCTGTGGCTGATCAAGGTGATGGGTCGACATTCTGCATAACTGCGAACGAAATCCGACAAGCTGTATGTGCGATTCGCCCACGCAAAGCGGTCAGCCCACATCTTCCTCCTGCACCTTTTTGGAAAATAGCTGCGCCAGCACTTGGACAGTGGCTATCCGGACAGAAAGGCATCCAGACGGCGGACATCCGATACCCTCCATCATGGCTTATGACCTCCGTGGCTCTTCTTCAGAAGCCTGGCAAGCCAGTAGGCCCCCTTTCGTCTCTACGCCCCATTGGCCTACAAGACCCTCTCTCCAAAGCGTACACTTCGATTCTGGCCCAGCACTTCAAACCCTATGCTCTAAAATACCTGCGCAGGATCCCACAATATGCATACCTCCCAGGCCGTGACGTTATGTGTGCATTGATGCGTGCAGTACAACATTGTCGATCAGTTCGTACCACCATACAGAGTCAAGCCTACAATCTGCATCATCTCAGACAGGGCACGAGCACGACTGATTTTCGAGCAGGTCTCCAGGTATCCCTGGACCTGTCTCAAGCCTTTGACACAGGCCCATGGTCCCTAGTTATGGAAGCAGTACGCCGAACAGGTGCTCCTGAAGGCCTATGCTCTGCGATTGCTCAATGGATCCAGGGCACGGTATACGAACTCACGTACAAACGCACCCGGCTTTTAGTCCATGCAGGACGTGGTGTTCGCCAGGGCTGCTGCCTCTCGCCGATTGTATGGTCGGTATTCACTGGACTCCTCTATCAGGAATTTGAGGCTATCGGTGGCTTGCGCTCTCCCACAGGAACGCTGTCCATGTTCGCTGACGACAAGCACATATGCTGGGAGCTGACCTCACCGACTGATCTTCATGGTGCTCTTCAATCTCTGGGTCAACTCCTTCAGCTGCTTCGAAGATTTGGCTTGAAGGTCAATGCCAACAAGTCCAAGGCCATATTGCATGTGCAGGGCAAAGGCTCGGAACGGATCAAGCGCACCTGCATCAAACTTGTAAAGGATGAAAAACATCTGAAGGTACCGATCTTTGAAGCGAATACTGTGACAGTGGAGCTCATTCCACTGGTGTCTCAGCTTCACTACATGGGTATAGTATTGTCATACACGAGTTTTGAAGAGCAGACAATGAGACACCGGATTGCGGTTGGAAGGGCGAATTACGATCGCTTACGGAAACTGGTCAATGCCCGAAAGATTCTTCGGCTACATCATCGCATTCGACTATGGCGTTGCACTATTCTTCCAGCGATGACGTATGGACTACTAAGTACGGGCTTAACCAAAACATCAGCGGACATGTTTGCAGTTGCATGGATCAAACAAATTCGGGCAATATCCAACTCGCCAGTTCATCTTACGGGAGAGAGATCGTTGGATCTATTACAGAGAGTAGGCCTGCCGGAACCAATGCAACATCTACACAAACTGGCCTCCAGTCGACTTCTCAATCTTCAACAACTGTACAGACAGATCGAGCCGGATGATATCATGAAGGACCCAATGATTGAGAACATCCTGCACAACAGAATTATGGAGTTCAAACAGCTCGCCCTGGAGGCTACGTACCACCGAAAACACGACTCCACCCTGGTACATATCCCGTTGCAGGAGGGCTTTTCATGTCCAGAATGTGGCATTTACTTTAATACTCAAGCAGCCATGCGGCAGCACGTTACAAAAAAACACTCAACTGAACATGAGCCTGATGTAGCTGCGAGGTCGTTTGCTGATGTCAATGCAGACATACGCAGATACGGGGTTGATGGCATGCCACAATGTTGTTTTTGCTTGAGCAAGTTCAACACATGGAGTAGCTTGGGGCGCCACATTAAACTGAATCGATGCACAGCTCCCACCGGCTCAGCGATAGCCCTCCCTCCTGCCCAGCCCACCCGCGGTGCTACTGAGGTTCGAGACAAGATTCCAGTCGCATCGGATTCTGACTTCCAGCAATCATTTCGTAAAGGGGGACTCAGTTATCTCTGCAGGCGCAAGGACGTGCTTCAGGAGCTCGCTCATCACTGCGCGATCTGCAGACAATGGCTGGTTAACAAGCATGACTTTGGGTCCCACTTTGTCAAATCCCATCAGGACCTCTGGAAAAAGTACGGCACGCGGGCCACCAAGCTGGTAGTTCCTTTTGTACTGTCAGCTCCGTGTATATATTGCGGTGGAGTGGCCAGCATGCACACTAAACACAAATGCCCGACTCTACTGCAGGTCTTCTTTTCGAATCTGATCTTTCATGACAGAGCTGCAATTTCAGCCCCCGACCAGCAGCGAACTGTCCACCTACTCCAAAGCGTTCCAGGGTCTCGGAGCCAAGATGATCCAGCAATCCGACCAGAGTCCCCCATCGACGGCAACAGGGATGGAGATGGAACCAATGGCAGGCTCCAAAAGAAAGGAGGTGGAGCAAGAGACGGCGCCAATGTTGGTTACGGAAGCAGCGTCGAAGCTTCAGAAAAAGGGACCTGGAAGGGGCAAGGGCAAGGCCAAGACCAATGCCGGAACCTCCCAGTCATCGCAATCTCAGCTCACCAATCTGGTGCACACCATCGCGAGACTATCGATTCGACACGAAGATGCATTGGCGGCGCAAAGACTCAATCAAGCCTACGTGATGTTTTTGCAAATCAAATCCGCAGGGGAGCTCCAATCGCTCGTATCCCCCCTGTACACGGCGTCACAGACGTTCGACACAGAGAAGGAGATGGGCAAAGCCAAGTATCCGAAACGGGTGGTCCTGGTCAGCCTCATCCTTCGCGAGTTGGTATCACGAGTGGACATCCTGACGAAGAACGACGACGCGATGCGGAGCGCGGTGCAGGCACAGTTGCTGGTCAAGGACGAGGACGACGATCCGTGTTGGCCCTACTTGCAATGGGATCCCGACAGTCGCCAGGAACTCCGCAACCAGGATCGGGAGCCCATGAAGCTGGAGCGGTGGCATCGCAAAATGCAGAGTGTCATAGGCCTTCTGACGGGGGAGACGGTTCTACGATGTCAGCCCAGCCGGAAGCTGACGGCCAACATGGAGGGCGACCAGGTGGCTATGTTCCTCGAGATCGGCACCGTGGGCGAATCGGAGCAAGACCTTCACCGCCATCTTCGGGACATGTGCGACCTCTCGGTGTGGAAGATGGTACTGGGAAGGTTCCGAAGGGATCGTCTTCAGCGGAACCCCCTGGCGAACCGGGTCATGGAGCTTCTCCCGGACAACGCCTGATGACTGCGGCTGCCCTCCCAGTTCTGCAAAACACTGGCAATACATGCTATCAGAATGCACTACTTCTGTGTATATGGTGGCTCAGCCGGCATTTTCATGAATCAATGGGAGGACTCCTGCTTACAGTTCAGCAGCGGGTTGCAGAGACAAATGGCAGGCTGTGTGATATAGAGGAATGGTCAAGAATCTTGGCCATATGGGGCAGACCGGGTACACAACAGGATGTGGTTGAATTTTTGATGTTCCTCCTGGAATATGTCACGATTCCTGGATTGGGAGGGTCAATTCACTCATACGACCCGACCTCCGCTCTGGTGGATGTGACTGATCTAACCTCAGCGCCGATTATACTTCACATTGGCCGACACCGCAGCCTTCCCGCCATGATACAGGAATGGCATCAGACAACAGAAGGGCTGCAGTTTCTGATACATCCGCCAAGGATTCTTTTCCTACAGGTCATGCGGTTCTCCCTTCAGCATGGCCGGATCCGGAAGAACAATGTTCGTCTCAAGATCCCAGACAGTCTTCTCATACCGACCTTGGTGGAAAATCGGAAAGCTCTGCGGTCATATCATGTTGTATCCGGGGTATACCATCTGGGCAACAGTCCGCAATCTGGTCATTCTCGTGCCTTCTTTCATGAGTTTCAATCCGGGTGCGATGGTGATATTCGCAGATATACTTCTGATGATGGTGTGAGCGTGGCTGAACTCTCCTCAAAAGAGGCTGAGGTCCTAATGCGGAATTTTTATCTCCTTGCACTAGTGGGTGATTGATCCTTCTTCTTTTTGCTTTCCGACTTATACTATGCCACCTGCACTGTTTTTGTGGATACTCGCCCGCTGCACTCGATTACAGGTGATCTTTTGTCAAATCACAGATCGACGGAAGGGCACGTTCGTAGGATGCTGCTGTTGTTGGGTATCGAGTTTGGTATCACGCTCTTGTTGTTTGTCCTGGAACAAGCCCTTCCTGCAGCCAACTAGTAGCTCCAACAGCCACTTCGATCGATGCAGCGAAGCTCTCATGTTCACTGGATATCTAATCCGCTCCTTACTATCTGGTTTATTGTCTTCCCCAGCTGCACCATCTTCTCGCACGTAGTGTTTCAATCCCGGAGAGCTGGCCAAGATGCTTAGCGAATTCGGCTGTCTATGTTGCTATGTTGCTTAATCAGCACTGTTCTTTGTCGTGTTTCTGTAGTGCCTTTGCTGGGTCTTCGGACCGGAAGGCCAATCTCTCATAGGCATGTGCTGGGTCCTAGGACCGGCATGCCAGCCTCGTGGTTTCACACTCTTGAGGCTTGCTTATGCAAGTGCAGCTACAAGCTGCCAGGCTATCTATGCTGGCTCATTATCGCTACGCGGGTCCAACAGCGTCTGCATGTCTCTGCTATGCACTGACCCGTTGCGAATCAAAGTCAAAGTCAAAAAGGACTTTGCTGTGGGTGTGGGATATATCTCGACCTGTCTCCGTGTTCCAGTAAGTTAGAGGGGTCTGTGCGCGGTGGGTCTAGGCGCTAGCGAGATTGAGTTCCAGGAATTTTCACGGCTTTTAGGCCTGTGCGATACATGAATGCAGAGCAGTCGAGTGCGTGTTGGCTCCATAGTTCGGCACGCCAGCTTTAACATGTACGGTGGTCATGATGTCAGCGCCTAGAGCAGTGCTAAAACTCGGCTTCCATGTTCCGTCAGGTGTCAAAATTCAATAGCAGCAATAAGATTGCAGATTGATTGCAGCGGTTTTAGTATTTTGAGAGCGTCAAGTTTGGACTCATAGCCCCGAGCTGGTTGTCGCGGCCCACGTGGACCTGCACAAGCAAGGCCCTGCTTCCTTGTGCATCTGCGCGCCGCAGCGATGCGACTTCAAAGGTTTCGTCCGGATCTCAAAATCCGCGTCTATTGGGGCCCCCATGAGCGTTGACAAGTTGTAGTTGCCAGGAAAAAGGCCTCTGGAGCGGCAAAAGTAGTGGTGCTCTGTGCCAAGGTCAGGTTCATGTGCCATGACAACTGTGGGAGAGATTGTCGAGCGCCGATTGGGGAAGGCCACAGTGTCGTGGTGTCAAGTGGTGTGTAGGCCAGTGTCGTGCAGATTTGGACTGTTGCCGTCAGGTGCGCACTCCACACCTTCCGCTGACTCGGACAAGTTGGTCACTTTCACATAGCATACCGGTGACTGCCCATGGGGACAAGGCCACTCTTGGCCAGCTTTGGCCCAGATCCCGGGCCAGCCATGCTCACGTCACGACCGTCACGCCGCCTTCTTCGTGACAAGTCCTGCCTCCGGATGAGCTGGTTTGGGCTCCGCCGGAGTGACGATTCCAAGCACGGCGGTTCAACAGTTCAGCCTTCATGAATACCACTGCACGGAGCGGAAAAGGTATGCAGTGGCATGCATTCCCCGCATGCGTCGTGTCACTGACATCGACAAGTTGGGCATGAAGGAGGCACTGCACCCAGGCTTCTGCAGCCTGAACTTGTCCGTGCTCGTGAGTATTTCCGTGGTTTGTCCATGAGGCAAGGCACTCCCAAATGCGTCAAACGGTAGGAGTCGAGCTGCTTGAAGCTTACTCGAAGGGTCATTGCACAAGGAGCTTTGAGTTGCCACGGGTGGTTGCCACTTGTGGATGTTGCCCTCGTGCTGCGCAGTTGCCCCAGGATTTTCAGCGACTCTGCTCATGAGCATGTTGAGGGTAGGCTCGGCCGCCCTTGTTGAAACGCAGCAGCATTCTGAGCATCTTTGAGCATCCTTCATATTCCGCCGATCCGCCGTGGGCAGCGCGCCTTCTGCAGTGTCTTTGCAGCTTTGGCCACGGAGCGGCTTTGAAGCTTAGAGCCGGCTTGGACGGCGCCTCATCGCCTCCCTGGGCTAACAGCCGTCCAAGCCCCACGAGGTGACTGCTGCCTCATGAAATGCCATGAGTGCAATCTCACGGTGGTCTGCTGGCCAGTGGTTCAAGTCGATGTGCACCACGAAGCCACCTTAATTGCGTCGCCCCATGTCTGGCAACGATGCTCTCCACCTCAACAGCCTGCTGTGGAGCTGTCTCTCTGTGCCGCTCCTAAACAAGCCCAGACATGATTATGTGCGCGGGCGAGTGTGGATATGCGAGGCCCCAGATACTTGTACTGCATTTCAGGACCTGGATTCGCATGAAATCTTCCGGAGTAGGAGTGCATAAGTTCGCGCTGCGGCCGGCCGGTGATCTGACATGGGGTGATGACGTGTCAATTCTCACAGGAAGCCTGGGAGGAGCCTTTATGAAACTAGTTCGCGAGCCCGACCACGGGATGCATGGGCGCATTCGTCGACCCTGCTCGCTATCGTTTCGAATGGTTTTGAGTGGGTTCCGAACGCCGGCCAAGCATTCATCGTGCAGATCCGGCACCATTTGTCCACAGACCTTCAGCGTGCCGCTAGAGTTGGAAGTGCTGGCAAGCTCACCGTGCTATTTAGGAGGTCGGCTGCTGGTACCGCCTCTACCCCTGACACCAGGCTCTCCAGGTAAGATCTCACGGCATCGCTGTTATGGAGGGAACGTGTTCCCCCGGAGCGTGAAAGCGGATAGCGGCGGCGAGTGAAAGGGTTGCTTGTTGGCAACGTGTGTGCACCTCTGTTGTCCTCCTTGCGCTTCGTGGGTGGCAGGGCCGATGCATCAAGAGAGTCGCGTGGCTGTGAAGGGCGCATCGGCAGGCGACTGGGCGTTGCTGTGTTGCGAGGCAGAGCTGGCACAGATGTGCAGGTCACCGGCATTGGGTGCATTGAATCCTGCGACATGTCAGTTCTGCACGTGGCTTGCACTGATCGCATCTGGGTCCAGACGGAAGGGACGGACGTTCTACCGCTCCCATCGGCGCCCCTCCCTGTCTTGGCCTGTCTCGCTGTCTGCGAGTTCCACTCTCGGTCCTAAGTCCAATGTAAGCGAGGGTAGGTGTACGGCTTTAAGTTGGAGAATTAGAGCCAAAGCTTTTGCCACAAACGTCCTGCGCTTTAACTCTTGTCGATGGCTTATGAAGCCTGACCCAAGCGTGCCGCTAGAGTTGGAAGTGGTAGCAATCTCACCATGGCATTTAGGAGGTCGTCTGCTACTTCTGCCTTTGCCCTTGCGATGAAGCTCGTGAGGCTTCGGGTTCCAGGGAAGATGTCAGGGCATCGCCGTTTTGGAGGGAACATGTTCGCCGGGAGGGTGAAAGCGGATAGAGGCAGCGAGTGAAAGGGTTGCTTGTTGGCAACGTTTGTGCACCTTTGTTGTCCTCCTTGCGCTTCGTTGCTGGCAGGGCCGATGCATCAAAAGAAGTGCATGGCTGGGAAGGGCGCATCGGCGGGCGACTTGGTGTTGCCGTGTTGCGAGGCAGAGCTGGCACAGATGTGCAGGTCACCCGCGTTGTGTGCACTGAATCCTGCGACATGTCAGTTGTGCACGTGGCTTGCAGTGATCGCATCTGGGGTCCAGATGGAAGGGACGGACCTCATGCTTCTCATGGTGTGTCGAGTATATGCAGGAAGCTGCTTATCCGGTCGATAGCCGCATGACATGAGCTGCGCTGTGCCAGCGCAAAGCATATGTCCCAGCCGCAAGCTGTGTTCAAGTAGGCTCTGAGCTGATGACTTAAGCTTTGGGGAGAAGGGTGGTGGCTAGCCATCCTTGCAGAATGCCATCAAAGAAGACCTGGAGAAACCTCCCGCTCAGTCTCGTATGCCATTCGGTCGCTAGAGTTGCAGAGCATGCTTTCCAGTTGGATACCTGCCAGCAAAGTACTTGGTGCGGCAAGGGGGCGCTTGCACTGCGAATCGAACAGCAGTCCTGCTTCAAGATGTCCCCGTGGCCACAGTTGCGCTGTTTCGTTGCTGGACGCCTCGGACATGGCGCTGGTGCCCGGGACTTGTGAGGAACAAGACCTGCTGCTGAGCACCTTTGCACCGAGGCAGCTACATTGCAGCGTTCTTGCCTGCAGCAACGTGCACCTGTGAGGTTGATCGGAACCAACGCCTTCTGC